TTTTGGATATTATTCATTTTGATATCTTCGAATTTTTTAAAAGCAAATATAATTTTCTATGGTACATGTATATCATGTATATGATCATATTTTGCAAACATCAAAATTATTTTCAAAACATGACTTCTAATTTAAGTTTTTTTCCTTGAATTATGTTTAAAATGAATATTTTTGATTGAACAGAAAGTTCTTGGAATACTTATTTGGATTCTGTATGGTTGATCAGAAGCTAGAAGACAGCATTTTTTTAAAAATCCAGTATTTCATGCAAACGTTAAAAGAATTTTCCAACAGGTTTTGATCTAAATATGTTCCAACTGACCAATTTAGCACTGGTAACACATGTGCCATATTAACGATAATTCCTTTTGACACGTGGTTTTGTTTACGTTTTATCGAGTGCTATTCAGTAGTACAGTTTATTTAATCTGTTTTATCTCAAGCTTTATTTATTGGCGATTAAACAGTGGATCTTGGTGCGCTGATAAAACTCATATTTTTATCATTCTATCATTTTGGCGCACTCGTGGTCTTCTGATAAGATAATTCTTGGTAACATATTACATGTTAGCCTGCAATGTTCCTCATTCAGGGCGTCTTGTTTTTAACATCATCATCAAATAACTGTCTAAAATAGTTTTTGATGGTTTATTCTTATTGATATATCTCGTTTTTACTTATATAATATAATAAATATCTGTAATATCAAAATAACTACAAGAATATTTTTTTTAATTAAGTGCTTTATATATATATAATATAAAAATAAAATGACAGTTAAGACCTTTTTATATAAAAATACATAGCATATCAAATAAGAACAAATTTTTACCTCTGATTATCATTCATCAGGTAGCATCTTTTCTTAGAGTCTTTACAAAGTGATACTAAAAAGAGGTTCAAAAGGTCAGAGAGGAGTAACTTTTAGCTGAATTGTGTTGTTGATACTGGAAATCACCCAATGCTTTCAAAGTCACAATGCATGTGAAACTAACGAGCATCAAAACAATTTACGCAGAGAATTGGCCATAAATTTTCGTTTCTAAAAAAGACAATAAACTTTTATTGACTAATTGACATGTAAAAGCAATGTCACTATGTTACTCTGTTCAAGTGAAAAATGTCACTTGTCTGACGAATGAGAAAAATGTACGAGGTCTTATTTTAGTTGGCCTGGAAACATAAAATAAGAATTATTTTCAAGCAATTTAACTTTCACAGCAACGCACTTGTACAGTATAGCACAACCTGAGCAATAAGCACATTTTTCTTGCCTTCATTGAAAGTGAAATATTTACTGCATCCTTTGAAATACTAGTAACATACTTGTCAAATACAATGCAATTATTACTTCGGATTTTTTGTTCTAACGAACATTTTAACCTAGACATTTTTTTTCCTGTTTATATTGCTAAATATTTTTCCATTTTGGTTTGATTTAGAATTTCTGTTTGGTTTCTTTATGCATGCAAATATACACTTTTCTCTTTAAATCCGTATAACTTGTGTAAGTGTCGTCAGAGATCTGGCTCCTGGGCCATAAAAAGTAATGAGTTACTTCTTGTTCTCAAAAAGAAATTTTGAAATTCCATCGTTTAAAAAAAATGAGACTGAGGTTAGAAGTGTATCCTCCAGAATTTTGCTACCTCGAAACTTGATATTATGTAGACCCTTTTGTTTTCAAATATTATAGTTTTTTCTTCTTCTCGATTCTAGTAACAGTAACGTCGTTTAAAACTAACTACTGCAGTTTGGAATAAAACTGGGGGTGGTTGAATACTTAGTAGATGTTTTCTTTAAAATTTCGACTTGATTTATCCAAGTTAAATAAAAAAAACTTACATAGTATTTCATATCAGTTTCACATTAGGTTGTTGTTTTACCGACTATAAATGATAAGGGCCATGTAACAATTAAACTGTATGACAAATGAGGTGACTTCAGATTTTACATGTTGAATTCTCTTTACTTTTGCAATATTTCTAACTACCACCTATTTAGGGTGTCTATATTTTTCAACTTATTCGCTACTCATGGACTTAATTGCTCTGATCATGACTATAATCCATTCTTTTAAAGCGAGGCAAGTTACTCACTGATAAATTGATGTTACAGGGAATTCAATAACCTCATTTAAAGTCTTCATATTTATTTTAAATTTCTTGATCGTTATAATGACCTTATGAACAAAGCAATCTTTCACTTGTTCCTTGCTTCTCTGATCTGTTTTATGCTAAACGCGAGGCCTTTATTTTTAATGTACATTTCGACTTGCTACGCAATCTATCCTTGATCATTTCATAGGGCTCACGGCGGATATCACCGGTCAACTGGGGATGCTTACTCCTCTTAGGCACCTGGTCCCATCCCGGGAATCCCCCTTTGCACGTATCAGGGTAATATTGTTGTCATATTTATAAAATTTTTGGATCGATCTCAGCTGGTTCGTTTTTCACCATTTATACACTACCAACTGAATATCTGTTTACATGCAGTAGAATTTATTCATTTTGCGATGGAATGTAGGAATACTTTTGTATTGTTCATGTTGTTTTCGGATATTTCCCAATCGAAAATTGTGAAATTAATATTTAAATAGTATACCTGAGATAAATGATTAATATTAGAAAATGATAAATTAAAAAGTCTGCTGAGATTTAATTCCGTGAGAGGGAATTGTTTGAGGGAAAACTGCATGTGTCAGGAAAAAGAAATTAGCATTCTCAGTCGAATGAATCATTATGGGTCAAAATGTAGATAATGTTAAATAACCACTGCGAAGTTTCTGATTTAGGTTAATTTTTATGTAGATTTTTCTACACCTAAGAATATTAATGGAAACCATATAATTAGTAAGCATCATTGCAAATGGCGTAGAAGATTTGTTAACTTCACAGATTCTGAAAAAGTCTGGTGTCTCGAGTAATAGTTATACGTTCTATGTGTAAATGATGCCTGATGGCAAGTCAATGAACCTAAGGTCGTGTTGTTCCCGTGCTGTGCAGAAATTTTTTATGCTTCTGCTTGATAATATCGTCAGGGTCTTATGTTATCGATTTCATTGTTCTCAAATTTTTCTTTAAACATATGTACATCTGTGGCCAAAGTTCCTACAGATAGGTGCCAAAATCTCTTGCTAAGTAAATTGTAATATTAATGTTGTTTCAGCAACCTGTCTCTAATCAACATTTTCTGCAAGATTTGCCTTCTGTTCATCTGAGTCTGCAATGCATGTTTCTATTATTTTTTCCCCACAATTCACGGGGAAACTATTTGCTAACAATACAAACTCTACAATCCTTGAATATGCATGTTAATTGCTGCAATGACTCAAGATAAAGAGAGAAAAGACCCAAAGGTCTCAACTCTTTACTATTGAAACAAAAGTTGAAAAAAACGGATGGTTATAGGTCTGAAGAGGTGGAATCTGATACCTATAGTAGGGTTTCGATGTGTTTATTGATTGATTGATTGATTGATTGATTGATTGATTGATTGATTGTGGTTTTTTACTCTCTTTTCAAGAATTTCTCACTTATATGCTTGTAGAGACTTCTCCATTCACGAAAAAAGATCTTCAAATTTATACCTATATTCAGAAATGGGTGTTTTGAGTAGTAAGGGTTTTTTTCGTGCTTTTGTTTACCGTGGCGCGAAACGTCGTTTCTTAAGGTCTCATCCGAAAGACCATTGATCCAGTAATTAGCCCGACAAATAACTTATTTGTCTCAACGATTTCTATATATAAACCGTCTAATTCGTCCGAACGAATTTCTAATTTGTCCGAACATTTTTTTTTACCTAGCCCTACAACATGAATTAGTATATGAAATAAAATTCTGGTCCCAGAAGCGTTCCTCCCTGAAAGATGCATGTAAGCTCTAGCATTTTACGGGAGATACATTTTGTATAGCTATTAAATTAGATTCATTTGGATTTTTGAAATATTTTCTTGCTTTTTTGTTTTTCGATGTGCTGTATTTCCGCTGAATTTAATATGCATTTGATTTTGCATTTTATCGAGGCAGGTTATCAAAATTCTACAGATTTAGACGCCTTCCTATAAATTCCAATGTCTTCGTGATCTTCGCCTACAAAACTACTGCTTGTCTGTTGCGTGATAGCAATTTGTCGATTTTAATTTGATCAAAGATGAAAATGGTTATCCAGTTGATTAAATCAGCAATCTTTAAATTAAAGAGGTTCTCTGTTTTCGGTTTGAACAAATTTCTTTTCACAACTTAATCAGCAAACAGAAGAGTTGCAAAAAGAAGTAAAATGTGTATTCTCTAATGTGAAATGAGTCTGTTGTTGTTACACCATACTATTATCAAGTATTTCTATAACTTGCTTTATTAAATTGCTTTGAATTTTTTAGTATAATCAACGGCAGTTAACTTGGCCGTGAACAGCAAAAGCATCAATTTATACATAATTTTGTAAATGCTAAAGTGCAAAACAGATATATTTGATCTCAAACCAAATTTTATGTACCGGTTTACCCGTGAAGCAGCATTAGTGCCATTTTCTTGTACCTATGAAGGGTCAGAGACGACATGCACTCGGACAATGGTCAACCATTACTGAGTGGGCAGGTACTTCTATGTGTATGTTTTGTTTTCATTTGTGTATTTGCAGATACATTTAAAAAGAGTACCTGGGAAAGTTTTATTTTGGGGTCAATGAGTAATTAAACCTACTCAAAGAAAAATACATTAAAAGATCTAGGTCTAAAGCAGGATAATAAAATGTTCATGTAAGAGGATTGCACGATCGCGAGTAGTAGTAAATCGTAGTACATGTTTATAAGTCAACAGGTTCTAATACATCTTTTTAATCGTCGCGTAAGCTCTAATCCCCTTTCCAGATTACACTCAAAGGAATACTTCATAAATTTTAAGATAACAGATAATTTTCTATGAACGCATCAATTTCTGCTTAATACATGTAATTCACTGGATCACGATTTCACGCTGGTATCGACGCACGGATGCCCTGTCATTTCCTATTAATGCGACGATGGGCATGCTTAAGCAAACACTTCGCTAAGAGCTGTTCGATAGTGTTAACCTCTGTAAGAATAAGGTGGTGCTAAATTTGTTTACAATACACTTACGCCGTTTACCCTACCGTGTAGTTTTTATTTACTAAGTCCTTCCATTTATGTCCACGGCTATATAAATCAATTTATCCGGACATCGCCTTTTAATCTTTTCTTGACCATAAGTAGCAGAGAGACTGCAAGCGCGCTACTAGATCGTACAACGCTGGGAAGCAATTTACGATTCATTATGTGTTTATCAATGGAGATGTAAACTAATGTGTGAACAACTCACCCTCTAGGGTATTTATTAGATGTATTAGATGTAGATATTGGTTAACTACAGAATTACTCTCGTCTAGTGCTTTTGTGTGGTGTTTTGTTCCGTGTAAAATTGGAGAAAATATGCGAACCATGTCGACACCTCGACGAAAAATTTCGATGTCTTCCAAACAGAAACCCTTGCGGATTGCAATTCTGGGACAAAATGGGGTTGGAAAATCGGGTAAGTAATTTTCTTTTTAAATATTTAATTGTTGTTTGCTAATATTTTTTAAGATGTTGCTTTTGTTTCTCTTCTTTTTTTCTCTCCATTTTTTGGGGTGGCAGGGGTTTAATGTATAGTTCAATTTTTCACAGGGTTTCAGATATTTTGATTTTATTTCATAAATTTAAGATTACATTCAGACTTTTGCAAAATAAATACTGAAATAAGGCTTTTTTTTCATTTTAATTCATTCGCTCAAAGATCTTTCGTAAATGCATTGTGAATATTTGCAATAGAAAAATAACATTTCAATAGTGTGGCCAACGCTTTAAAATTTTCTCTGTCATTTTGAAAATACAATATCAAAACCACCGAGTTCCAGTTCCAGTAAGACTATTTATCGTTTCAATTGGTTTTCAAAATGTTGATAATTAGTTTAGTTTTGGCTTAATAATCAACAGGGTTGTTGAACAATAGCTTCAAAGAACATTTCTGTAAATAGATAAACATCATAGATGTTTGTTAAAGTCAATACGTTTGTTAGCAATATAATGGTATCACAAAATAGTTTTTCCTGATAATAAAATCTTAAGAAAAATCTATCAACATGATCAATTGGACCATTTGATAATATTTTTGTGTAGTATAAGAAAAAAATTGACATCAACCATGTAAAAATACGTGACCAGTAAAATACAGTGAGAGTCTATTATCGTAAACGGTATTAATTCCATGACGTTACAAAATACGTTCTGTTTTGTTTTCATCAACAAAAACAATATTGAATAGCCGGTTTCTCATTTCGATCAAAGATAGTTTTGATTAAGTTAAAGCCAACATTCGCATTATTTTAGCATGTTAATCTCTTTTCTCGTCCTACACGGAAATTTGAAATTCCAGCAGAAATGAATTTCAGGAAATTATGTTTATTCAAGTATATATAGATCGAGGAGGAAACAGAGAAATAGATGTTTAAAATAAGATTCTTGTGCCATCTTGGCAATTTCTTATCAAGACCTGCACTGCAATATGAATTGATTATAAACCTAATTTTTGAAAGAACAGAAATCCTAGGAAAGGGTGTATCGTTTTGCAATAACCTTTTTCTGTTTGAAAATTCCTCACACAAATGCAATTCAGTTTTCAATTATCCGGTACCCTCTCCCTTTCATAACCTTTGCGAAACGAATGTTCAAATGGGATAATGAATAAAAAAGTAGCAGAATTTAAGAATAATGAAATGGTGTACAAGTTGACATAAATGGTTATTACATTGTAATACATGTATCTGTAAGTCCGGTTCTGCCAGACATATTTTTATGACCAAATTCTGCAACGAATATGAAAGGCAGAGTACATCTTGTCATGATGAAATTTCCACTAGAAGGAGAGACTGTTGTGGCTAAGTAGAGTAACATTTTTTTCAATGAAACTGATGACCTTGAAAGTGCACTACCGATGATTTCACAATGCCACTAAGTTATACTAGTATTCGCCGTGTGCCAACCAATGTTGGAAAAGAGGAACTATTTATTTTAGACAGTACATGTATATCAATTTGGAAATCAAATGGCCCGGTTAACCTAAAACAGAATTTTAAATAACATTATTACGATCTTTCACTCCTAAAAGTGCCCTAGAAAAACATATCATAACCAGCCTCTCCCTAATATTATTATCTTATATAACTGATTTCCTCATATGTTCGATTATAGAATTAAACTGTTTATATTAAAGGTACTAACCATTTAAATGGCGGAAATGAAAGATCAATAAAACAATTAACTGTTACTCATTTATTTATTTGAGAGAGAAAAATAACGCTTTCTGATTAAGCAATAGGATTTAAGTAAATGGGGCCCAAATGTAGCATTATGTAAATCTTTGTGTACATTCGATGTTAATCTCGATCAAGTAGCGAGACGTGTAGTCACAGATGGGCCTCCGATAAGGAATGATCAAGCTAATCCCCCATTAAGCGTGCCAGAGTTCTTGAGTACTAGTTTTTTTCCCTCCATTTCAAAATTTGTAAGTTTTACTCCGATACTAGATTCCACTTATTGTGCAATTTAATAAGTTGTAGTTGATATGTTGTATATTTTTCGAGTTCTGAATTTTTTGTCAAAGCGTGAAAAAAATCAAAGAATTTTGGTGAAACTTTCCTTCGAGAATACTAGTATTCCATTGGTCAGAAGTTCATTTGTTTAAGTATCTACATGTACATGTATAATAAATTCATTCCGTTAGGCCATCAATTTACAGATTTCTTTCTGTGATGAGTAAGAATTCTTTTATTAAATATTGCATAATATGCTCCTTCTTTGAAAGATAAATCCTAACAAAAACTTCTGACCAGTTAGTGCAAAACTAAATGAGCAATGACAACCGACAATTGCAAGTAGTGCATTCAATTCATGGGAGCTTAAAATTTTGTTAGCAGATCTAAACTGTATTGTTAAATTTCTTTAATGTGTGAAAAGCTGAACCATTTAAGCTTTTCAAAAATGTTTTATTGAAAACGTCGTCAGAGAGTTTAATGCCGAAAGAGCATTGTTGAACTACTTTCGTGAGATGGGAATTTCTACGCAAAGAAAAAAAAAACATACATGAAAATCAAATGTTTGCATGTGTATTATATTTATTAAACTGAATTTCTGAAAGTATAGAATTGGGCTAGATCACTAAGGTTTTTTTCAATTAGTTTAATGTCTTTAATATGTAAATATTTGATGATAATCGGAAAATTGTTTCTGATTTGTACATGGAGAGAAAAAATGTTCAGCAATATTCAGGCCACACGCAAGTTGGAGGCATCAAAAGCAGTTTTCAACAATGGCAAAATGTAGCAAAGTATATTTTCTGTACACAGTTCTTTTGCTTTTCGAACGCTTTTCCTTTCATTGGTAAATGCCTATGATGTTTGATAAACTCTCTCGTAAATTTTTAAAGAATAAATAAATTACATTATATTGTTATAAGCGAGATGGCTGCATTTTGATGAGATTTTCTCAGAGAGGGAAACTTACCGAAAGATAGTGCTTCTCGTTACCCCTGCATCAGCTTATTTTTATCTTCTATTCTAGAGAGCTCCTTTATCGAATTAAGATTAGACGTACTCTTATTTGTACCTTTACATAATTCGTATGATTAGATTAATGAAGACTTGATAACAAAAGTTTTTATAAATAGATTTTTGGATATCAATGCATCTGAAAAAAAATAAAGTCACATGCATGAATGATAAATTGCTTGCTATTCTTTAAACCAATACTTGTATTTAAAGAGACCATTGAACTTTTCAGTTCATAAAGGCCCGAAAGTTTAAGAAATATTATGCAGTTAGATAAAACTAATCAATTTGCTTTTCCCACAATAAAAGTCAACCTGCCAAAATGTATCTTTGCATGAAGGAATAGGTCAATTTTTGCACCACATAAGATTTTAAAATGGATGAAATCATACACATCGCTGCAGAGAACGTATGCAACATGCATCCTCAAATCCGCTGATAACGTTAACAGCTTGTGGATATAAAAAAAATATAGAAATGTGCTAATAATCTTTTGAATTGATGCTTGATCTATCTTTATCTTTTTCTTGCAGCTTTGACTGTGCGTTTCATCACACGACGGTTCATTGGGGACTACGATCCAGATTTAGGTATGATCCAAGGTCAAGGACTCTTTATTAAATATAAATCATGCAGATATACACATGATACATGTAAAGCATTATATTTATTATTTATTCAATTTTTAAAAATTGAATTCGTACCAATTCAACGTGTCTGAAATTACATAAATACAAACTCCTTCATCTTTTAATTTAATTAATGCAATTTGTTCTTTCTTTTTGTTTGGTGCATTTCGGGGTCATTTTTCTTAATTTTGTAAAACCAATGACCCAAAATGTGTCTTCGAGCCATATGTAAGGGTAAAGAACCGTCTATTAAAAATGTAAATATTTTCTAACTAAAAAATTTCTGGTCTCTTCATTTTAGTTTATTCATAAATGCGAATGCATTCTTGGACACTAATTCACATATCGCCTTCCTGTCTCGAGTTTTACGTTTGAAAGCAAATCAGGTGGTAAAAACGGAAAAATAGTAAATGCGTACACTTGTGTCTTAATCCGCTTAATCTAAAAATGTAAACACGCACTAGACATTGATTCAAAAATATAAAGTTCATGCTCTGAGCATTTGTAAAAGTTTGAAGACAAGATAATCTTATTTTACGGTGTACTGCTTTTTTTCTTTGTAGAAAAAGTTTACGCTTGCTCAAGATGTTTAGATGGTGACACAGTGACCTTAGAATTATTGGATACGGCCGCGCAGGTAAATAGTTCTTTTTTCAGCATATGCTGATTTTTTCTTCTTCTGCTTGACCTAGCTTATTTCCTGGGTCTGTTTATGAAAAGATTCAATATTCAAGACATTTTTCCCAATTAAATGTTTAATCTGAGAGAGTGCAAATTTCTTTAACGGTAAACGATTTCGATAATCAATCCAATTAACAATTAATTTAATCCATTTACAAAGATTAATCCGTTTGATATTGAATCTTAAACCTACTTTCTCTATCTTGTGTGGTCTTAATTACTATATTATTTTACTCGTATATTAAGTCCAATTAATGATTAAAATAATGGTTCCGACCCATTTGTTTGATGACAACATTGCTGATATAAGCAAAATTGAAAAACCATGCAACAACTTGAAGGCTAAATTTCTCAATTAGTTCACTGTATCTCGTGTCATTGAAAAATAATTAGTGAAAAAGCTTACTGGGTTTTTATACCCCACGCAACTAGTTGCGGGAGGTATAATGTTTTTGACCCGTCCGTCAGTCAGTCAGTCAGTCCGTCAGTCAGTCAGTCAGTCAGTCCTCTTTTTTTGTCAGCGCAACTCCTCATAAACCGCTGCACAGAATTTCGTCAAACTTTGCAGGTATTTAGGACACAATGTGTAGATGTGCATATTACCAGGAAATGCCGATTCCATTATTTTTTCCGGGAATTTCCGCACTTCTTAACTTAGGCATTTGACCATACCTTGAATATAGAGATGAACAGTTTGTCAGCGCAACTCCTCATAAACCGCTGCACAGAATTTCGTCAAACTTTGCAGGTATTTAGGACACAATGTGTAGATGTGCATATTACCAGGAAATTCCGATTCCGTTATTTTTTCCGGGAATTTCCTCACTTCTTAACTTAGGCATTTGACCATACCTTGAATATAGAGATGAACAGTTTGTCAGCGCAACTCTTCATAAACCGCTGCACAGAATTTCGTCAAACTTTGCAGATATTTAGGAAACAATATGTAGATGTGCATATTCCCAGGAAATGCCGATTCCATTATTTTTCCGGGAATTTCCGCACTTCTTAACTTAGGCATTTGGCCATACCTTGAATATAGAGATGAACAGTTTGTCAGCGCAACTCCTCATAAACCGCTGCACAGAATTTCGTTAAACTTTGCAGATATTGAGGACACAATATGTAGATGTGCATATTACCAGGAAATTCCGATTCCTTTATTTTTCCGGGAATTTCCACACATTCCAACTTAGACTTTTTGGCCATACCTTGAATATAGAGATGAACAGTTTGTCAGCCCCACTCCTCTTAAACTGTTGTACATAGTTTCGTCAACCTATGCAGATATTTAGGACATATTCCATTATTTTATCCCAAAGAGTTTTGCCTATTATTCAAGAAAATTTCTCAACCCCCCCCCCCCCCCCCAACCACTTCAAATTAATGTTTGGATTTGTAAGAGAAAAGAAATTTTGATTCCATTATTTATCTAGAAACTTCATTCCACATTTAAATGTCCTTATATGCAAGACATTTTGATGTGAAGATTTTTTTGCAATTATTGCCCTTTTTTGATCTATATTATGTATTTAAAGTGCACTGTGCCTTTCATTATGTGTTTCACCGTCAAGTTTTGGGGGAGCGTGGGGTATGTGAGCTAGCTCACTTTTTCTTTCATTTTTCATAGTCACGATAATGAGCATAAAATTGCACTTAATATATTTTTTGAACAACATCATACGTGTAATTAAGCATGTAAGAAAATATGAAATGGGCGAAACTATCTTCCTGTGACGTAAAAATCGAGGGCTTGACCATATCGTGCATTTGAAGAACATGCCCAACTGTTTCGCATGTCAAGGCGCACGTAAAGAAATAAAGGTCAAATTTTTCATATGAATGGATAGCTTTCTAGGAAACATTTGGTAAAAATTCAAAATTCATATTATGATCAAGAAAAAGACATAATGGCTTCCAAAAACAGCGGCTTTGTACACATAAGCAAGCAGGAAAGTTATCGAATACTTATTTGCCAATTTTTTCCACATTTCAGGCAGAGAAAAGTCGTATAGAAGACCATATAAAGTGGGCAGAGGCATACATTCTTATGTACTCAGTGACCGATCGATGCAGTTTTGGGGAAGTGAGCAGACTAAAATTCCTCATTAATTCTTACAGTAAAAAACAACGCAAAAGTGTGTCGTCACCAGATTCCGTAATGACGTCAACACCGGTGGTTCTAGTAGCCAATCAGATTGATCGAACTCATGACAGAATGGTTACACAGGAAGAAGGATTTCAAAGATCTCTAGAACTTGGTTGTTTGTCTTTTTATGAAATTTCTGTCAGAGAAAGTATAGACTCTGTGTCAAAAATTTTTGAGGATATTTATCTAATGTGCCGGAAACCGCGCAAGTGTCGTCAACAGCTGTGTAAACAATTGTCGTTACCAAGTTTTATCAACGAGGAGAAACCGGAAGAGACAATCGACACGTCTGCTACCTTGAACAGACGGCGGAAAGCAATCTTTACCGTTAGCTAATCAGGTTCATTCTGGACCATTTATCAGTAAAAGTTGAAAAGAAGTTTTCATCACCTCAAGCTTCTGATGAGCTTCGTTATAAAATAAAGCTTATCTGTGATACTTGTTTACAAATGAGGACTGATAAGAGATAAATTACGCATGTACGTTCATGAACGATGCGAGAAAGGCGGATATTCAATATTTCTTGTTTTTGTTTTAACTTCCATTTTATAGATCATGTTTTACGTAATAAAAAATGATAACACAAATTCATTTTTGAGTGGTGGATTGAAAGCTATTATATACTATAACAAACTATGAGGAATCGTAAATTTCCCCTAGTTTTAAGGAACTAACACATCAAATAAGGCCATATAAACCGAGGTCCTTGTTGTTCGAAAGTTGGCATTACCTGTTCAACATCCGTATAAGATCAAGAATGAGTTAGTCTAAATTCCAGGGACCCAGAGTCTTGCAAGTATCTAAAGTGTCAGCTTTTCACTGCCAATATATGGCGTCCCATTATACGTAAAACAATTTTGAAAGGACGTAAAGGAAAGCAAGCAAACAAACAAACTGTAGAGGTATGAAAGCTATAGCCAGGAATACGGTACCACACACTTAGTGCTGGAGAAAGCACGTCAAGTTTATCAACAATTACTAGTTGTGTTGGCCTTTGACGTATTGTTACTGAGCTCACACCCCAGAATAATTCACCAAACAATAGGAGAAGGAATCCGACAGAACAATGTAGCATAATATGCTTACATGTAAACATGGCTGTTCTTAATATAACTAGCAACAAAAGGTCCAGCGCGCAGAATAGAATCTGGCAAAGTGTAATTCATTAATTTTTGCTGGTATTTCAACATGTTGAATTTTTATATTTTTAAGATGGTGATATTTTTTTTCAAAGGTAGTCAGGAAATTATCCCTCTTCTTTATGACTTTTTATCAATTGTTTCCCATAGTCACATTTTGTCCTTGGTGACAATAGATACACCAGAGTAGGAACTCCAGCAAAACACTATATCAGCTGTTATACCTACAACACTGGATGTCCTTAAAATGTACATGATATGTCTGTTAAAATATCAATTTGAATTTCAGAAATCTTTTGTAAGTATGCTTTTTTAACATCCCTTCGAAAAGGTTTCTTCGAAGTGAGACGCCGTGGGGCTGTAGGTTTAGACCTATACTATCGGCTTTTGAGCAGTAAGGGATCTTTTTCGTGCCATGCAGCATCTAATGCAAAACGAGACCTCACTTTATACGGTCTAATCTATCGGAAGGACCGGTTTCAAACCCACGAAATTAGGATCAACTTCTTACTGAAGCGACCCTACGGCAAACGCTCTTACCATTGCGCCACGCGAATTTGAGTAGTTAGTAATAAACAGAACCCACGAAAACCCAATACCACTCTAAGACGTGGAGACTGGTCCTTTGGATGAGACCGTATAAACCGAGGTCCCACGTCGTAGTAGGTGCTAGCCCTAAAAAGATCTCTAACTGCCCATGCAATGGCCTAAGCCTGAGTGTCGAGTATACTAGCTAGTAAGTATGATTTTGCAGCTTTCCACCGGCAAGTGGTTGTGTCTCCATATGAGTGAAAAATTCTCTAGAGGGACAACTAACAAACAAAACAAAGACATAAAAATTCAAATTGAGGAGCATGCCGTTTTATAAACAGAAACTCAGACAGATGTTTTATGGACAATGAACGAATTCTTTTATGTTGCATACACATTATGCCTGATGTCGCTAAAGTCTTTGAAGGCTAATGGCATCAAAATTTATTTATAAAAATAATTATTTCACAAACTTGCATTAAGTCTATTATTGCGCTTGATAAAAACATATCTTATGGAGAAAATGTGTACCCTTGTTTTTAGACAATTCAACATTTTTTTTTTTTCGTAACGCTTTTTTTAACTTGAGGGATGATAAAACAGAGGTACATGTAGATGTATTTTTTCACTAATGACATATACTGTACTATAAACATAATGCAGCTTTTGTACATGTATAGATGCATGGTGCAGTCTTTATAGAGAAATCAAAAGGTCAATATCAATTGGATTTTTATATAAAGTTCACTACTCTTTACAAAAGCAATAAGCATAAATCTGGAGAGCAAAAAAAAAAATTGTTCGAATTACACAGTTCAAATTTAAGTTCCGGAGATGCCTGAATGGAATTAAATATTTGATGATTTAAACTTAGAGACCTTCAAATCAAATCCTGTTCATGTGATTCCATAAATTCTGTACTCTTTATTTCAAAATGATAAATTTCTATAAATTTTCTAGATATTTAATCAAAATATATTCTGTGATGATGCATGTTACAACTCTGATATACATTGTACTTGTCTGATAAGCTTCCTTGCAGAATTCTTTAGAAAAGACTGTTTTGACTTATTTTGTATACAAACTGTGTTCCATACATTTTTTGATTCTTGTCTATAAATTCCAAAACTACTGAGGTATAAATGTCCATCAGGTGTTTACAAATAAAATGAAAGTAAACACATTCACATTTAGGAATTTCACATACATGTATATTGTGAATACAAACAGCGTTCCATACATTTTGTTTACATGATTGGTAATTGCAACCATGTGTAGATGATATTTGGCCGGTGTGGAAGTCAAAACTTCACTTCTTTAAAAATCAAATGTATAAATTTTTTGATTTAGATTTGACTGCATATCAAACTACAGGTAAAAACAACAACTTTTAATGCTAATTGGCTATTGTTTACAGGCTGTCTGTCATAGAAAGCTCATATAGAAAAAGTACGGTGTGCAAATAGGTAATTCTAAATTCATATTGATCCCTAATTTTAATCTTTCGATTTCCCAACTTTCCCCTGAGTGAATTTTTCTAAACTTTTTATATGTGAGTTACTAATAGCTTATCTACAAATCTGCATTAAAATATGAACTGTTGCAATTAGTTCTCGTTTTTCAGTAGAATGACTAGAACTCAGGAAAGTTTGTTAATTGCATATTATATTAGTATGCTTAATTAAGAAGCATTCGAACCAATGTCAGATTGATTCAGTACAAGTTCGCTTAACCCATTAAAATATTCTTTGTAACGTTTCCCTTCTTCTTCGAATGATTTGTAAAGAACCATTTAAATATTTACAATGAAAACATTAATAGGCATATTTTTAATTTGAAAATATCATTAATTGCAAAGATGGAAAGGGTATTCAATGGATCAGAAAGATATAACCTATCATTGGGTCTTCTTTTCGATGACTTGTGTCACACCAATTGCTAGGTCTTTGTTTTTATGCTGAATTTGACTGCAGAATGTTCTGTCCACCTGATCAATATATATGGGGTGTGATCGGTCAACAGGGGAAGTTGAGTCCTCCTGGACACCTTATTCCATCACCTTTTTTCCAGGGATCTGTGTATAATGAGTATACCCTTTAAAGATTTACATTGTTAGAAGATTTTTAGACCGATCGTTGATTGTTTTCTCACAATTTTCACACATTGGACAATCAGCGTGTATAAATACAGGCAGATTTGCAGAAAAAAATGTTTCAAGATGTTTAGTATTTCCTATTGAATTGTTTTGTTTCCTACAGATACAACTTCCAATGCCGGAATTTATTATAGCAGTCTAGTTTCTGATCTATATATAAAGTGACACGATGGGTTATGATGCCAGACAGAACTGGTTTTTATGACGACATATGTACGTCTGCTATTCGGTGTGCTTGCGTTCGTCTGCGAACAGTAATGAGGATCGGAAATTAAATTCGAAAGCGAAAAGATACACACAAAAAACACAAATATTAATCCGCTTTGGTATTTTTCTGTGATTGTCCAGCACTTTTGGCAAAATTCCTCTTTTTTTACGTTGGTTGAAGGAAAGATTGGTAGTATGACGTCTAACATTTAATTAGCATTGAAGAATGCTGAAGAACCCAACTCAGTCTCGACGTGAGAATCTAATTTTAAATTACAGTTGTATATGATACTATGTCGGTCAAACGCCGCCCGGGGAAAAAGTTTGACCAAAGAAGAATGTAAGTTGTACAATGTAACGAATATATTTTAATCCTTCATGATTTTAATAAAATATCATGAGATACATGTACATTTCATATTCAATACAAACGTACACCTTTTTCTATAATTATATTTCCAATATGCATGATTGTAAATTAAACATTAATTTACTTTTCGGGCTGCACCTGCACATAATAAATAGAAAATCAATAAAGATTAATACATAATTATGATTGCGGTTTTTCCGCTTGCACCTGTGAGTAATTTATATAATGTTTAGAGAGCGACGACCTAGCCAGTCAATATATTTAGTGACTTTTCATTTGTTGTCAATTGTCACTTGGTGTGGGAGGAATAGCACTTTTATACATAATTTTTAGGATCGTTGGGTATAACGGAATGCACAAAAACTATTTCATGTAAAAGTCAAAGCGCATATACTTTGTAGAGTAAAATAAACGAATATTAACATATATTAGAATGTCAAAATAAAATTCATTGTTGAATCTATCAGATTCAGTTATAAACATAAGTCTTCAAAGCAAAGAAATACACTTTCGACCATCAAGAATAAATCCATCTCATTCTTACATATTGTTTTTTTTCAATTGTAAATTCTGTTGCTGAGAAAAATTATGTGATGTTGTATAAAAGCATTTACGAATTTTTTGTATGGTGTTATGCCCCCGGATCGAGAAGGATATGGAGAAAAAAAGTCCATAAAATGGTACAAAATAGGAGCAGAGCAAACACGGAACTCCGAAACATCAGAGGTGGGATCAGGTGCCATGGAGGAGTGAGCATCCCCTGTTGACCTGTCACATCCGCCGTGTGCTCCTTATCATGATTGGGAAATAACGGGAAAATCCGTCGTCAATTCAGTGTATAAATAATGGTCTAACAATTAGTATGAAAAACGTCAGTCAGCCTTTTCCTTAATGATAAACTGTATTTGCTGACAATGTCATTGTATCGACCATAGAACTTACGAAATGATGACTTTAATCGAGATTGCTGATATTCTTGTTTCATCAACTTGCCTGTCAATAATTTACCTCGTTTAAAAAATTGTTCATTAGTAGCGCATACTCATACTATCCAATCAACTGAGATATATACTCCGTTTGCAAGTGATGAAGGTATATTAATGTCTAAGTAAGGGAAACTGACGACAGAAAAGTTAGAGTCATCACGTTTATCATAGTGCTTGGTTGTTAGATTACCATTATCGT